GACCCTGGCCTGGTACCAGGTTGTTTCCCGGTACCTGGACCTAGGCCGGTATATCACTTCGGCCTAGGACCAGGTCCGTGGTCAGTTGGTTCATTCATTCAGTTGTTCGTTCTTTCATTGAGCCGGACTGGACCTTCACTCAGCTGCTGCTTCTCGTGTGTGTCCATCTTCTCTCTCTCTCTCTCACACACATCTCCGCACCTGCCCTCCGCACGTGCGTCACATTGGTATCGGAGCGGGTTTCGAACCTCTGCTCCCTCCCTCCCTCCCTCTCTGGGTATCCCCGTCCCTCCCTCCCTCTCCGACTATCCCACTATCACGGATAGCTATCTCCAAGCTCGTTTTTGCAGCTGCACCTGGTCCGTCAATTCGACCAGGTACGTTCTTCATCCAAGCTGGCGCCTTTCTCCTCGGCAACCTCCACGACGGCGCTACTCCAGATGCTGTCGTCATCCCATGCCGCCGACGCCGACCTGCTGCCACGTGTACCCTGGCTCGTCCTTAGCCCGTCGCTCCTACAGATTGAATGGCTGGTGAAGTGTTGGCTTTGGGCTTCAGCGGGTCGCAGCCGGCGGTGAGAGGTTCATCGAACCTTACTATCGGAGTAAGGAGAAGCGGTAACAAGGTTTCGGTAGGTGGACATGCGGAAGGATCATTGCCACGTGGACAGTCGATCCCCACCTCCCCTCGTGCGCACGTGTCCACCCAGCCCCGTGCGCCTACAATCTCCTTCCCCCCCTTCCCCTTGCTCAACACCGATTGTGCATCCCCGTGCGCCCCCCGCCCCCCCTCGATCTCAGTCTCCTCCCCCCTGCGCCCGATCTACACGACTCGTCCTGACACGTGCCGCCTGGGTGTCGGGATCCCACCTCTTCCGCCCTTCCTGAAAAACAAATTTTGGATATGCAAGGGATTATGGAGGACAAGCACATGAAAGAAAGCTTGCAAGAATTGTTCAAAACGGGCAGCTCAGCAGAAAAAGCCTACTTTGAAAACTTGCAGGCAAGAAGCAAGATCCTACAAACAACCAAAAGTCAGAAACCCTTGCAGGACACCAACGAATCCCAAAAAGCACAAAGGGAAAACACAACAAACGACCCACACAAACGTCTCAAAAGAAAAGCCAACCAATCCACCCCAAGCTCGCCTGCACACAGCACAACACAAGTCAAAAGTAGCAGGCCTAGGGGATCTCACTCAACAACGGATGGGATTGAAGCGGATACAAACGAAAGCCTGGAGGGCCAGCCGGAGGAGGAAGGAAGAGACTCAGTCAGCAAAGGGAAAAAATAGTGAGGGACTGAGGAAGGTTGCAGCAAGGAAGGAAAATAATCGATGGACGAAGGAGATGAAACAGACATCCCAAAAGGAAGAGGCGAAGAAGGGGAGGAAGAAAGGGATGGAGAAGAAGACGATGAGGAAGCATACGACAACATGTTATGGGACTCGGCAGAGAAAGAGTCACATACAGGGAGGGATCAAGACGCAGCCAGGAGAACATGCGAGGAGGATCAAGAAGACTTTCTCAATTGGTTCTCTGAATATGTCAAGAGGCTGGAAAGGGAAAGGGAGATTGAATTTGAAATCAGAATTGCTTACAAAAAACACATCTTCAATTTGCAGAATAACTTGTTCCCCACAGACAATCAATACGAAATCTTAGAAAAAGAACAAGAATTGTCAGAATTTTTTTTTAATGCTATCACACCAAATTGGAAGAGGCAGCAAACCAAGGAAACCACGCACCAAACAGCTACATCTCGCCCAGATCCTACAACAACACAATGTGGTATATAGATCCGCACAAGCGGGCCCAAGCCCTCCTCCGTGCAAGCACGGATTCGAACCGGCGCCCTTGGCCTCAGGAGCAAAGTCTCTTAACCATTACAGCCAAGACATGGTGTTCAAAAGTGGAACCATACCGATCATGATATCCACCCCACCCGTGCAAGGCTGTAGTGTCCAACACAACCCACACCACACACAACACCACACGGACACATCCCACGGACGCGACAATTCTCGCTCACTCCGCTCCGTTGCACAGGACCCCTTCCATCGATACTTAGCCCGAACACCACTACGGGGTATTCTTCCCCGTCAATTAACGGGTGCTTCCACAATGTGGTATATAGATCCGCACAAGCGGGCCAAAGTCCTCTGTGCAAGCACGGATTCGAACCGGTGACCTTGGCCTCAGGAGCCAAGTCTCTTAACCACTACAGCCAAGACACGATGTTCAAAAGTGGAACCATACCGGTCGTGATATCCACCCCACCCTTACAAGGCTGTATTGTCCATCGCAACCCACACCACACACAACACCACACGGACACATCCCACGACCGTTGCAGTTCTCGCTCACCCCACTTCGTTGCACAGGACCCCTTCCATCGGTACTTAGCCCGAACACCAATACAGGGTATTCTTCCCCGCTGATTAATGGGTGCTTCCACAATGTGGTATATAGATCCGCACAAGTGGGCCAAAGCCCTCCTCCATGTAAGCACGGATTTGAACCGGCGACCTTGGCCTCAGGAGCCAAGTCTCTTAACCACTACAGCCAAGACACGGTGTTCGAAAGTGGAACCATACCGGTCGTGATATCCACCCCACCCCTGCAAGGCTGTAGTGTCCAACGCAACCCACACCACACACAACACCACACGGACACATCCCACGGACGCGACAATTCTCGCTCACTCCGCTCCGTTGCACAGGACCCCTTCCATCGGTACTTAGAAGGCTGAAATGGGTCTCCAAGGGTAGGCTGAAATATTTTGACACCGACTCACTTAGTTCATGTTCGTTAATGCTAGCTCTGATTTGCAGTCCCTCTCTCCACCTAAGAGGCCGTATGGGATTGACTGGACTACCTTTCATGGTTGCCATGTGAGGTGGTCTATGATCTCCGCCTCCATCGAGTATTGGACCATGCAGGCTTTGAGATCACTAATCATCAGGTCCCCTGTTGTGCCAATCCACTCTTTCCTCCATTCCTCCCATGATCCCAAAATATGAGCGCTCATGGGAACGTCATCTGAGATGTTGATTGCCATAGCTTTTTCACTCAGTTTGGCCAGTGTGATAAGGGTCCATGATTTATTGACTGCTACTCCCCAATCCCCGTGCTTTGTGCTCCATCTGTAGGGGATTATCGCTCTTCTCCTGCACCCTCCTTTGGCTTCAAGCCTGGTTGCTGTGAACGTTTCTGCGTTCTAGCCTGCAGCCAACTTTTGCAGGTTGACTGCTATGCCTTATGTTTCCCTGTTCTGATCCTTTAGCACTGTGATTTGTGCCTTGAGGATTTCTTTTTGTCTGTCAAGGTGTTCCTTCTCATCTAGGTGCATTTCCTCTCCATCCTCCTCGGACTCTTTGTCCTGGGGGGTTGCTGTTAGGCTTTCCCTCTTCCCCATTTGAGCCTTTTGTTCGATTTTTGGGAGTCTGGCTCCCGAGGCCAAGGTCGCTGGTTCGAATCCGTGCTTGCACGGAGGAGGGCTTTGGCCCGCTTGTGCGGAACTATATACCACATTGTTAGAAAGACTGGCACAACTCAGAAGTGGGGCTCAGGAGGCGGACAACCCAATCAGCAGACCTACAAGACCCAATACAGGCCACTTAATCTGCTCACAAGCCAGCAAGAAGGGGAATTGCAGAGAAGCGATTGGCAACTTACACCTACAGAGTTCCGAATTCAACATTCCAGGCACCTTCAGGGGCCTTTGGTACCCACACTCCTTCGGCATTTCTTGGATTCAAGTTAAATTTGGCAGGTTGTAGGAAGCAAACCTGAGTGGAAATGCAGAAGGAAGGCAAGCTGACAGTCAATCCTCCAGGCATCTGTATTGATCAATGCTGCTCAGGGGTCCTTCAGCCAAACAGAAGGAAGCGTGAGGGTGTCTTCGTTGTATATCTGACTTGCCGGTGGAATATGAACTGGACTGTCGCTCCTCAGGAAAAAAAAAAGAAAAAAAAAAAGAAGTTGAAATGAAAAAAAAAATAGTGGGATTTGGGAAGGAGGGGTTACATAAATGGCAAGCTGACAGTCAATCCCCCTATCAAGGGCAATCAATTCTGATCAGTGGTCCTTCGGCCAGACGGGAGGAAGCGTGAGTGAGTTGTTCTGTAAATTCATGACTTGCCGGTGAAAAAGGAACCGGACAGACACTCCCCAGAATGGATATGAAGCCAGGCCCATAAGGGCCTGTTTTGTGAAAAAATAAAGAAAAGAGAAAAAAAGATGAACCAACTTCGGCCGCATCAAGTTTGAGTTCCGAACAGGCAAAAAAACACACACACCTGCATGTCAGTCATGCAATGACTTTGAGAAGGCAATAAAACAGGCGCTGTAGATTGTATCAAGCACTTTTGTGGTAAAGGCAAGGGCGGGCTGTCATATGCAGAGGGCCATGTTCAAAACAGCAAAAAAAAAAATACCGCTATTTTTGGTTTTTTGAACTTTTTTCAACGTTTTTGTGCATTCCAAACTGCCTCCGTGACAAAACTGCTGTTTTTTTTGCTTATTTGAGACTCAACCCCCCCTGAGGCAGTAGTTGTTTCGAACAAGATTTAGGATGTACCCCTTCAATCCCCTTCAGAGTTTAAACCCTGTTTATATCCCACAAATCCTGCCGGGTGACCCATCAGCAAATTGGAATGTGAGGCTGGATTCTGACTGCTCAGGTCATGTGCAATCCTGGCCTGATTTTTTTGGGGGGGCAGGTCTTCCCTGCCTGCCTGCTCCTGTCATGCTTGGCCAGGTGCCTGCCCAGTATAGTTTTTTTTTTTTTTTTTGGACCATTTCTCGAGTTATGTGTGTCATCCTTGCGCAGGGGCCATGCTAATCTTCTCTGTATCGTTCCAATTTTAACGGATGTCCCGAAGAATGCCTGCCCAGTATAGTTAGCAAGTTCATAATAACTAACTTTGTGCTTTTGTTTGCATTAATGATTACTAACAAAACGGATGTGGCAATGAAATTTGTGACATCTGTATTGCAGCCAATCGAACGGATGGTTAACTTTGTGAAGCTGATTGCAGAGGATCCTTTGTCTTTCCTTGGGAGAGCAATGGGGGGCGCACCTGTGGAGACAAACCAAGAGAAGGAAACTTCACAGGTAAACCCGGTTTGAACTCTAAAGCAGTCTCTATGCCATACCCTGGGGCTGGGGTGGGATGCTAGTACCGAAAGACAAGGGGGCACTGAGTGCGGTGTGACATTCATGAAAAATAGTTGAGGGGGTGGAGTGGGTTGTGTGACGTACAATCCAAAAGACATTGTCCTCGTAACATTTTTTAAGAACTTCCTTGGAATCTAATCAGGAAACGAGTGCAACACATGCATATGGTAGGAATTACTGTCAAGAGAGCTCACCAGCGCCTGGGGAGTGTGGACTTGGCTAGGAGGGTTTCTGTTCTGCGGGGGGGGGGGGGGGGGGCTGGGATAGAGGGATAGGCTGTCCCATTCCAGGGTGGGGTGATCAGTTATTTTGAGATGAATGAACACAGTTGATGACAGGAAGACGGGGAGTATAGCTGATGATCGAGGCAGGGGGCCTTCTGGTTGATGACAGAGACTGGATGGGGGGACCAGTTGGGGACATAGACACGGGTTTCTGGTTGATGACAGAGATTTGGGCAATTCCGGTTAGAGATAGTTGATGACAGAGGCCGGGCAGATTCTGGTTGATGACGGAGACTACTGTCTTCACCCGAATAGAGGGCATGGTCATTATAGTTGTATTTGGTGCAGCTTTCAGTCTACAAACAGCGACAAGGACTGGGTGTTCTATTCGGGTGAAGACGGTCGGATGGGAGACTCTAGTTGATGACACAGACAGGGCTTCCTGGTTGATGACACTGACTAGGTTTCTCGAATGGTAATGGACTTTGTGGCCTTAACGATGATGGGTAATGCATCAGTACATAAAGATGGTTAAGGAATCAATTGAGGACAGAGATTGGGGGGGGTTGTTGAGGGCAGAGGCTGAATGGTTCCGGTTGATGACATGGCAATTTGGATTATCAATCAATGTACTGTTCTTTTCCTGTCGGGGACCCGGCCCACCCTTCGGGCACCCACATGTCTTCGATTAAATCTAAATGAAACCAGTGAAACCGAAACTAAGCAGCTATTCTGGCCTTAAATACAATACAATGAATCTCGCGCCTTTGTACTCAGCCACTAACGGGGATATAACTTGAAGCTCGCCACAGTTGTATGAGATTGTGAGTTATATATAGTTATTGGGCGGTTGGCGAAACCAGTCATAATGCCTTTTTCCCCCCCCCCTGAAACAAGCTCCAATCTATTCGTGGGGAGCAACACGTGCTGGGAACCGTCCTGCTTTCAACCTGGCCTTAATCTGATTCCTCATCACAGGATATGTGTCTAGCTTTTCCACGAGGCACAAAGTGTGGATTCGATCAAAGCATTTCGCAATGCCGGCTGTTAAGCGTGCCGATTTTCACTTCTTTGTGGAGGATGTTGTCATGTGCATCGGCTCCCTCTTCGGAGGTAGCCCTCCTGGTAGTGTGACACAGGAGTGTGAATATCCAGAGTGCACTTAAACAGTTAGCCACTCCGACCGGGTGTGCCAGCTTACACCCCGCCTGGCCCTGCTACGAGAGGTGGTTAACGGAGGCCTTAATTTTCAGACAACTTCTTACGCCATTTATATCAAAACACAAGGGTCATTTTAACCAAACTTGCCACCAATTCATAGTGGAGATCATAGTAACTACTTACGGGAAAAGAACATTGCAAAAACAACTAAAAAAAACTATAAAACAGCACGGCAAAAGTGCACTGTCATGAAATTTCGACAACATTCCAATTTCAGTAATCTCATCAGAAAAAATTCCAATGGCCCAAATCATACCAAATTTGGCACACAAAACAAAAACAGGCAAAAAAAAACAAAACATAAAAACATAAAAGTTGACACCCAAACCCTAATTTCAGTTTTGGACCCATTAGTCAGGAGCTGAAAGTGGGGGTCCCCGTTAACCACTTGTGGAGCCTACGACGAGAGGATAGGGCCAACGGGGCAAGCTTCGCGTACCCAAGGGGCGGTCACCACCCTTGGGGGTGTATCCCCACCGAGCCACCGATGCACATGCGGCAGCTTTTACTTGCTGCGGCTGAGGGAATTTGCTCGTTCGTCGATGTAGTATATGCCATGGTAAACGCCTTTGTGAACCTGTTTGTAACCAAGGTCATGGGGTGCTGATCTCCCGCGCCTTAGAGGGGAACAGTCAAGTAGGGTGTCTAACTGCTTCCGCTCCTAGCCCCTTTCTCTACTTCATGATGTCACACAGATGTGCACTCCCTTGAACATTTGTCTTCTCAAGTTCCATGCGACACAATTAGCACTAAATGACCTTGGCACTGTAAGCTCCAAACAGCACGTTCACCACCATCTCCATGTGTGATGAGCGACGGGATCTATCAGTCCTGCTGGGATCTATCAGTCGTGCTGAGAGTCTCCCTACCCACACGGCACTCCCCCTACCGTTCTCCGCCGTTAAGAGGCGATGCCTAATGGTGTCGTCGGTCTAACGTGCAAGAGGGGATCACCTTCGATGCAGGCAGACCTTCTCCCACAACACTGAAGGCGTCATGCCGAAGCAACACTCCCGCTCACATGCCGGAGCTAGGCCAATCCCAAGAAACCTCACATGCCGCACGTTCGAAGAATATACTGGAGTCTCTTACTCACCATCACTCCCAGGATACCTACCCATGTCGAAAGTTATTCACCCTGACAAGAAGACGTGGAATAATCCAATAATCAAACAAAATGCATTGCACCATCAGCGTCCTTCATGGCGCTCCTACCGGTCAAACCGATAATCAGGGATGCCTTCCCAACACGACTCTCGTGCCACATGACCATAATCGCAATGTGGTACAATTCACTTCGTCGCACACATGGCATACAAGCCTCCATAACAGAGTCTGATAAGCTTCGTGCCAAATTCACATAACCAAGCATACCTGCATGGACATGCATACAAACAACATCAAACAGATAGGGCAGACAAGATTCACTCCACAGTCCATACATGCATGAGGAATGAAGGAGATGAGTCTACTGACCTGTCAAAAGACAGTAGAACAAAATCCAATCCAAGAAATTCTCAATCCACAATCACCAATTTGCACAGCCTGTTGGCAATGCAACAGTTTGTAGGCCACTTTACCGAGCTATCCCACTAAATCACCCATCCACACAACTCCACGCACTCCTTCACCCACTGGTCAAACTGATAGCATCTCCCCTTTCGTGCAAGCTCTCCCAATCAGTGTAACCTCTGCCACCTCACACACTTAATAGGCAAGGTGTGATAGCACCGCCAGCAGAACGTCCCCCAACAATCTCGGCAATCGAGTCAGATTGAGCTCAACACTGCAACGACGCCGAAGCAGAGTCTAGTCTGGCCAGAAGGCCAGTACGAGGCCTCAACGGTCCACAGGGCCACCGCACTGCCTTGGCTGATGTAGCCCCAACCGTGTGCCTAAGCTGGAGTATGGTCTGTCTTAGGACAGCCTTTCCCCACCACGAACAGTTATCAGTTGGACCTTGCCACGACGCTGAAACGGACCCTTGGCCAGCGTATAGGCTGGCACGAGGCCTAAACGGTCCAAGGCGACCACCGCATGGGAACCTCCAGCGTCCTCCTGCGAGTGTGAAGGTACTTTGCTCTCCCGTGCTGCAGCCTCCCGTCACAGCACACACGGAGGGCAAGCACCGTGTCAACACACACACGCGCATGCGCAGGTTCGCCTCTTCGCCCAGCCTTGTTGCAACGCCCCACGAAGGAGGTGACCGGGCCCGGTGTTGGCTAACAAACTGAAGCTATGCAAAACTAGGCCCTAGCAGCCACTAGGAACCCCTCAATGTCGCCAGTCTCCGTAGACTCAGCCTAGTACTGTGCTCAGCTCGCTTACATCATCCCCTGTCTCCACCCGTTGCTTGCTGCTTGCATGCCATGCTCACATTGCTTACACATGGTTGCCATAGTGGCAGCCACTTGTACTTACATGTGGCAGGGTGGTCTTCCAATGCCAAGCCAGTCACCTTAGTAATTGCCCCTGCCTAGCCTTGCAAGATCGGACAACTTGCAACCTGCCACAAAGGTTTGGTGTGAGGCTTCTAGAAACCTTCAGTACACCTGGCAAATTCTTCTAGGCCGTTGATCTAATCAATTGGGTGGCCAAGATCTTTCACCTTGCCTCTAGAGGTTTCTCAGCCCCCAAGCCTTACCAGGCCACCCATCCAATCGGACCGGATGAATCTGGCCTGTGCACAGGCCCTGCTAACCATGAATCTGGCATTTTAATCTGGCCAGATTCATAGGCCAGTAGGCCTTCCCTTGGAGACCCATTTCAGCCTACAGTGCCCTACACACAAAAATTTTGAACCCTTGATACACCGAATCGATGGCTTAAATTCTTTGCGCCAGCTCTAGAACCTCCCTGGAGCCTCTAGGCCTTTCAGGCCTTTCCAAATGGCCACCTGCTAGAACCAAGCGAATCTGAACCAGATTTTGGCCTGATTCAGCTTGTGACACCAGCCAGCTTAGCTTCTAGCCTCTAGGCCTTTCCAAGCCTGTTTGGGTTCCCCACACAGTGCTTTTTGGCCGCTTGATCCTGCGATCGTGCGGTAAAAACGAACCACTATTACTAGGGACACTCCTAACCCTTCGACCTCTTGATCACCCGATCAAAGCATCTCGCAATGTTGGCTCTTAAGTGTGCCGATTTTGACTTCTTTGTGGAGGATGTATGTTTTTCAGAGATGGTTAACGGAGACCTAAATTTTAAGACAACTTGCCACGCCATTTATAGCAAAACCCAAAGGCCATTTTAACCGAACTTGCCATAAATTCATAGAGTGGACACTTGCATGCAAATTTTGCCAACACAAAAACACAACTGCAGGAAAAAAAACACAAAAACCTTAAAAACTGCAAGGCAGAAGTACACTTGCATGCAAATTTTGCCAACATTCCAATTTCAGAATTTTTTAGAAATTTCAGCAATGTCAGCTGAGGAATTTCCAGTGCTCCAAAAAGACACCAAATTTGGCACACAACAACCTTGAACCAAAAC